ACTCTGAACCTGAGGCACACTCTGAACCTGAGGCACACTCTGAACCTGAGGCACACTCTGAACCTGAGGCACACTCTGAACCTGAGGCACACTCTGAACCTGAGGCATACTCTGAACCTGACCCACACCCTACGTCCGAAGCTCAGTCGGCGCTTCACGAAAACGAAAACGCTGTCGTTGCAGACCCCCAAGAGTCAGTATTGGTGCCTAATAATGAAAACGACGCCTCCAAGCCCTCTCTCGAACCCACATGTCCAGAATGTCGTGCTGTCATCGCACCCTATAATCAAAAGAGCCTAATACAGCATCTCCGCCTGCACCATTGTCCTCTTGTTGTGGAGCTGGACTTTGACCGAATAGGTCATGTTTCTCGCAGATCGGCAGTCGGCGAACTTTTGGCTGATGGGAGGACCTTGACGAACGACTCTGAGTCTAAAGGACTCGGGCGCTTGTATGGCGAAGATGATGAAGAGGACGCCGATAATGACGCCGTAGGCGCGGAAGACCGTCCAGACTCACAGAACGAGACTCAGCATTTGAGACCAGCAGCACTTGACGACCCCGAAGCTTTACGGCGAACTTTCATGCAGTGCATCGTGCCAGGGTTAAGAGCTAGCATGGAGAAAGCTCTGACTATGTATGAGACGAGAGATCTCGACGGCAAAGATTACCGTGTTCATCGAGACATCTCACGGGAACTCGACTCGTCCTCGAATAACGTCACTCAAGCCGTCAACATCGTAGACTATGTCCACGCTATGCATACCCCAGCTGGTTGGCAATGCAAAGTACCTCAATGTGGGGCGACGTTTGATCACGAGTTCACGATCGACTTACACCTCTGGGCACATGGTCTTTTAGCCAAATGGTACTGCGGTGAGCCGAGTTGCCGGAATGGTTCTCACCGAGGCTACATCGATTGTCAAAGCTTCAAAGACCATGTGGCTATGGAGCACATGAGTTCACACTACAGCTTGGCCACTGCGCGCCGCACCCCTGACAAAGATGTCTTAGTGGCAGGCCTTTGGCGCTACTTGAAACTTGCACGCGTTCCAAGAACTACAGCTGTCGATCCGAATTCGACTGTCGAACATACCACGCCGAGCTCGGCAGATGATGACATGTGCAAAGTCCCCGATAACGGAGGAGATCCTCTATGGAATCGATCACCTTCTCGCCATGTGGCAGACCAACTTGCACGGTCAGCAAAGAGAGCTCAGTTCGCTCAAAGCAAGAAATCCTGGAGACATGAACGTCTAGCTTGGCAAATGTTCCGTACGGTTTATGATATGGAAGCCTTTGAAGATGATTTGAGCCCATCTGAGCGAGTAGTCAAGGAGACCCGGCTTGACCAAGCCTTCAAAAAGCAGAACCCTTCACGGAGGGTGTATTCGGAATATGATACTTCTGGGTACTGGGATGAGGAACTTCAGGAATACCCTGGAAAGTACCTTACCGGAGTACTAACAGGAGGTCATAAGACGCTGCGTGCGCGTGAAGCTAGGCTGTTCGACAAGTCTTCTCGTGCATTGCGTGACATGCTTGGGACCAACGACAAAGACGTACTGTGGACTGCGCTGAGCCAGATGCTTCAGGGTCTGCCCCCAGCCTTGGAACTTGATATCGACTTTGTGGATTTTGACGAAGATTTCAACCAAGGTTCAAATAATCGGCAGAGCACTCAAATCGACGACACTGAAGAAAGCAATGCTCGCAGACCAGACACCAAACTTGTGACTGTTGTGGTTTGCCCGTGGCCTGGATGTGAATGTAGGAACGTCAGCACATACGACATCATATCGCACTTTCTGTCTTCTCATCTAAATTGTGTGTGGCAATGTCCTGAGAAGGGATGTGAATATTGTGGCTATCTTGAGCCTCACCTCTTGGAACGCCATCGATTACATTGCCATGTCGGTAGTCCGCTTCAATGCGGTCACGATGGTTGCGACCAAGTTCTCCTACAAGACCCCTCGGCGAGTAGGGGACACGTGAACAACGCGTCTCTTCGGAAACATTTTGAAGTATTCTTCAACCGGGAGATACACAATCTTCCCCAGGAGCTTCTGAGTTTAGACACGGATCCACAGTACTTCAGCGATGTCCGTCACCATGAGCAGCCACTTCCTAACGAAGTCGCGTATAAGCAACGCTTCGCCGGTGGCAGCCGTAAATTCTTTACGTGGAAACGCCGCTCTCAGCAGCTCAATGAGAACCTCACTCTCCTCGGCGTACAGGAGGCAAATCTTGATATTCGGCACACCAAGACTTGCACAGGCTTCTCATTATATAATCGTCATTTTGATTGCGTCGACTCGACTGATCTGGGACTGGAGACAGCGATGTTACTCTTCGTTCCATCTTCGTTACTATTTACGGTAGCGCCCAGATGCAACTATTGTGTTCATGTTTTATCTCAGCTGTCGCGCCCTCATGCTGCCCTACCGCTTCCATTTCATTTTGGAACACGACGCGATAAGGTCTCTAAGGGTAAGCGCAAGCGAGCAGGTATAGGAAGAAACGTGAATGACCCGTCTTCATTCCTTCGGGTTGTCAACGATTACGGCTTAAGCTTGCCAGCAATGGCGAAACGATACAAAGAGCTCAAGAGGAACTCTCCTCAGAAAATCTACATCTTTGACTTCGAGACTATGCGGCGTACGAAGAAGGGTCAACCTTTAGTTTTACTTGAGGTTACTGTCCGGGACGGGAACAACAACATAATCTTGAGCTACCATATCAATGAGGAAGGCGTCACAAATGCTCAATTCGAGGAGAATATGAGAAAAGCAGGATTTCATGAAGCCATCATTCGAAGCGCACGCAGAATTCGAGGTTCTCCAGAGCGACACTTCCCGGCCCGAGCCAGGACCGCGGCACAAATCTTGAGAGAACTCTTCGCTGCAGGGCTAAACCCTGACTCATTATGGGTTGAGTACTCAACTGGTTACTTCGATTATCGCTGTATGGAGCAGTTGATCGAAACAGCTGACATAGAAATGTCCGTTGCCTCGATCCTTCCGCCTCGCAATAAAGTCTGGATAGTGTGTCCAGATTTTATGCGCGTTTTCCCGGGTGAGTGCCAATACAACACCATCAAGTTTTGTAGTGGACCTCTTACTAACGGAGTTATAGGGCTACTTTCATACAAACTCGGTTATGTCGTCAACTTGATGAACCCTGCTAATGAACATCTGAAGAGCCCTCACCTCTCCGCATCTGATACTGCAGTGCTCCACGATCTGCTAGAACACTGGGTGGATAAGTATCAAGCTGCCGCGTAAGGACTGGGGAGCACTATTCGTGTTCGGGGAACTGAAAGAATGCAAGCGAGAGCAGTATGCCTACAGAAAGCATCTCAAAGTAGAAGGGCGCTCGGAAAGTGCAATAACAGTCAGCCGATCATGAAGACAAACTGAAGCGATCCTGTATTGATCGTCCAAAGGTTGTGGGATGTGTCTTGACGAAAAATTCTGGAGATGCGAGAGTAAGCATTCAGCATTCAATGCCGAAAGTTTTCTTCCTCGTTGTGGATTGATTACTCCTAGATCAGAGAATCTTCTCGATTCATCTGGTGCATCGCTGGCTACCTGTAGGTGTAAGGAGTACCGCAAGTGATATTCGAAGGCTTACTGTCATGGAAGACATAAGATCAAATTGGTGTTAACCTTTGATGAGGTCACGTGCTGCTCCAAAAGCAGTAGCAAATATCACCTAGGGCGGCTCGCAAAATGTCATGCGCTGTGGGCTGAGACAGTTGGTTTCGGTATTCCGGACATGAAAGTGCCAGCTCTAAAGACTGTTCTAGCATCCACTTATGATTACGTGTAATGCGTGTTTGATGCTCAAATCTACCTTTGAGAGTGACAACGCAGGCGGTTGGAGCAGTCATTATAACTCGAGTACACTCAGGTCAGGTAGAATCATCTTCTGTCAGAAGTTTCTCTTTAAAGTACCATCGTCTGCATGATATGTCAATTGCCCTTTCGTCATAGTATCTACCACAACTTAGGTTCCGACCAATTCGGCAAAGAAAGGTCTCTTCTCGCTCGAGAACGACATCATGACATCACCACAGGGCATGCTAGTATCCACTAACGCTCGAAACCCCTGAAAAACTCATGGAATATAATTTTGAGACACAAATTATTGTCAACAAATCACATACATCCTCTGTGGCGCAATTGGCTAGCGCGTCTGACTGTTATCAGCTTATGCAACTATCAGGGTTGGTTACAACATTCTCTCAAAAAATACATGAATTCTAACACATTTCAGAGGTTGGAAGTTCAAGCCTTCCCGGAGGAGTTTTCGCACGATTTTTTTGATGATTCCTTCGAACTCTACGTGGCGTCGAAAAAGTCTACTCTTTTCTGGTTCAGCTTTGTCGGAAGTTTTTTGGTATTTTTGCGTTCTCACCCATCGATCTTAGTCCGCCTATTACAAATGAGTTGCTCAGCGGCGAATACTGAACTTTCACTCCTTTCTATCTCTCCATAGACGGAATGCCAGTATTATGGGAGCGACTACGTCTGTCTTGTTCACAAACCAAAATCCTCGCCTGGCCACAAACATTCATGCAACGATTGTACACGGCACAGCTCACCATGCAGTGTAACCACCGTCTACAACGATGTCAGAACCAGTCAAGTACGAGCTGGCATCGCTGAAGTGCAGTCAGTAAACGTGTTGATAAGCGCAATGGTGTGCCCATACCTGGCCATCCACACGACTGTTCCTCTAAATTCCTCGGGCGTCGCGATACGGTGCAAAGGTATCATGTCAACCCATTGCTTGCTGAGCTCCTCCATTTCGTCTCCTTGAGTCTTTGCTGTTTTGATATAGCCCGGAGACAAAGCATTGACTCTGATCCCGTGCTCACCCCATTCAGTCGCAAATGAACGCATCATGTGGTTGACGGCAGCTTTGGACTATGCAAGGTCAGTCCACCTGGGGAATTCCCACAAAGTCAGACAACGTACGGCATTGTAAGCACTCTGCTTCTGCGGTTTGTTGACAATGCTGCCAGACATTGAGCCGATCATGATTATGCTCCCTGGGATCTTCTGCTCGATCATGTGTTTGCCCGCAGCTCTAGCAAACAGAAAGGTGCCGTTCACATTGACATCGAGTATCCTTTGCCAGTCCTTGAAGTCGTACTCTTCAGCAGCAGTACCGCCAGCCACGCCGGCATTTGTAACCAGGACATCCACTCTCTTGAACTCTTTGATAATCTGATCCCATGTCTTTGTGACCATCTCTTCTGAGGAGGTGTCGCACTCATATGCCTTGATCTTGGGTTCCGGCAGTCCAGCATCCTTGACCTCTTTCTTAAGATCTGCAGCCGTGGAGTCGGCAGATTCCTGAGACAGGTCGACGATAGCTCCTTTGGCGCCGGACAGAGCGAAGGCTGCTAGGATTTGGGTCCCCAGACCTTGGGAAGCACTGATGAGTTGTCGCTTAGTGGGATGTCAGGTTGCACGTAAAGATTGGGTCTCACCCAGTCACTGTACCATGTTAGTTACCCGTAGCTAGTGATCAAAGCTGCAACTTACCAACACAGGTCTTGCCCTCCAACGAGAAGATTGGGAGGGTCCTAGAAGCACCATGAGCATATCGTCTTCCTATTCTGGAGGCTGCAGCGAGGCCAGTTCGCAGCAGAGCGGTCCTTGAAACGTACGGAGGCATCTTGTCTGAATGGCGGTAGAGTTGGGTGATGTTCAGTGCGAGGCAGAAGTCCAGCAAGCTAAGTATTAGCAAGAATTGCACGATACAAAACGAGGCACGAGATCACGACAATCAAGCACACGACGCGGAACTCGCTTCCTCACATTATTGTGGTACCGTACCTAGGTACCATTTAGTTTGTAGATAGGTACCAGTGACTGGCCGGGTGACTCTTCCATCGCATACGACGTCACTCCAAGCCAGACCATGATCATGTCTGTGAGGTAAGAGTCTTGGAAGCGGGTGTCTTATCCCGCCAAAATCGGCCAACGCGACATTATAAGCAACTCGAGAGTCCAAAGGAAACGATAATGGGACAATAAAGGAGAAGTAGTGGTTTTGTGGAGGTGGAAAGCTCCTCAATCAAGGGTTCGGGGTCGTAGCCAATACAAAAGTGCTGTTCATTTTGCAGGCCTTCCAAAGTGCGGAGAATTTTTTACTATGGTACACCCCCTTTCTCGCCGCATTATTTTATTCCTTCTCCACAAGCCGAAGCGAACTCCCCAATATATCGCTACAGAATGAAGAGAGCGAAGGGTCTTCCACAAAACGATTGTTTTCGCACACACCACATACATTACCAGTTATTTCGCGACTAGTATTGCTCATCACCACCGTACTGATCATCTCCGCCGTGATGACCGTCTTGCTGATGATCATAATGTTGACTGCCATCGTCATATTGACCGTCTTCGCCACCTTGGTGGTGTGAGTGTTGCTGGCCGTGCGGATGTTGACCATGCTCATCATATTGCCCATCATCGTCATACTCACCACCATCGTCGCCATATCCACCTTTGTGATGGTCAGCAGAAGATCCCCCATGCCCTGGACCATGGAGACTGTGGCCTTGAGATTGGCCATGGGAGTGTTTACCGTCTTCTTCATTGTCACCGTAACCACCTTCCCCATCATCACCATAATCGCCCTGTCCATCATCACCATAATCGCCCTGTCCATCATCGCCATAACCACCTTGTCCGTCGTCGCCGTAACCTTCTCCATCTTCCCCGTTATAATCGTGCCCCTGATGCTGATGGCCCTGTCCAAAACCACCTTGTTCAGGATCCTCACCCTCCTCTTCTTCATCTTGCGGGTCGTCGTCTCGTGGGTCTCGGGGTTTGTGTTCGCTAGCTTCCATGCCTTCGTGTCCGTAGAACTTGCCCTTTGTAGCGCGGGAGAACCAGTCATGCAGCTGGGCAGCGCCAGGATTGTTAGGCTCCTGTTCGAGCAGCTGTTCTAGCATTTGTACTAGGTTTGTGCCGTGCTGGTGCAATGTGTCTTGCTGTTCGTCATCGTCCATATCTGGAAAGAATCGCGTCAGTCATTTTCGCCCAGTGCAGCAGGATTGTGGCCTTGCATACCTTGGCGATCATGATCCTCCATATACTGCTGACATAGCTGATAAACTTCGTCTTTCAGTGATTGATTCGGGTCGCCTCCTGCGCCAGACTCGTCGCCGAAGTTGCCCTGGCCACTGGGATCGGCTCCCAAGTGGTCGAGACCTTGCTGGAATTGGCCTTGGCCCATGTCCTGATCATCGCCTAGGCCTCCACCGAAGCCCTGGTGGAGTCCCTGGTGGGAGTGGTCGCCCATACCGCCTCCAAAATGCTGTTGAGCGCCGAGGTCGCCCCCCGAGCCATCATCGAAATGTCCTTGCGAATCACCAGGAAAGTGCTGTTGGCCGTCAAAATTACCACCCGAGAATCCGCCTGGGCCGCCTCCCAACCCCTCATCAAAACCACCATGACCGCTCCCAGAATGCTGCTGGGGGCCACCAGGAAAGTGCTGTTCATCGCCAAATCCTCCACCTGACGGACCGTTAGAGCCACCACCCAAGCCCTCGAAGCCGCCCTGAAACTGATTGGCGAGCGTGTCACTCATGGTACACACGGTAGAACAATGAAGAACCAAGACAGGGGCGCTTTTGTAAAGCAAGTCGATAATCGTGGATAGTGGGAAGACTGCGATACGCAGCCGACCTACCAAGAACAAGATTAAGTATCGAGGTAAGCCATGCTAAATATATCACGTCAGGCATTCAGTGGTGACTTTGCCGACATGGTGTCGTCTTCCCACCTTCATTGTCAGCACCCAAGCCTCAGTGAAAGTATGTAGGCATTATAGAGCAAGATGAGATGCTTGGGGTCGCAAATGGGCCTAGACGCCTGAGGACGCATCTCAGTGATGACAGCCATATTAGGAAAACTAGATGACTCCTGCTTTCGGATTACAGCGGCCACAATGGTGCTGCAATCAGCGCAAGGGTGTTAGCAAGCCTGGATATTGTGTCAGACCTAAGCCTCTTCGAACACGGAGCCCCAGTGGATAGCAGTAAATATAAGGTGTGGTGACTGGAAAAGCGCAAGAGAATGATAAAGCTGTTAGAATGAGTGGCTGTCCTCAGTGAGTTAAGCGGCGGCTGACATCAGACACGATCCAAGGCAACTTAATTTTGACATGTCCACAAGCTTGTTTCTTTTCCCTTCAGCTTCAATTCCACAACATAATGAAGTAATCGACTACGTTCCTCTCACGCACTTTGCCAAGATCACAAATATTGGTCACACTCCCAACGATATATTGCCGTCAAGCTCCTATCACAGGGGCGCCGGCGCATTTGTCCCTTGGCTAGGCGCTTGGCCTGTTGAGCTGACAGGGGCCGCTCCCGCACTGCCGCTAAGCGTCGCCCCCGCAGCTCCGACTTTCTGTGGGCTTGGAAACACTGGAGCATTGCTTCCGCCACGTCCAGCAGCGGCCCCTTGAGCTCCAGCTGGCAGCTGAGTGGCGATAAGCTGGTGTGCTACGGGACCAGGCGTACCCGTTTGCCCTGTTGCTGCTGGCTGTGCTATTCCCCCAAGTCGTTGCTGTTCTAGCCTGAGCTGTGACAGGTTTGCATCGAGAGTCAAAACTCTTGCAGCATGGTCTGTTGTCAATTTATCCTGTGGATTTTGACCAGTCAACAGGTACATCCCGATCACATCGTCCCTCATGTTAATCACCCTGTCTCCGGCATGATCAGAGAATCATCACTTAAAAACAGTCGAAGGCTCATTTACTTACCTCTGAGTCATTGGGATGAGCTGCCCGATCAGGGGCAATTGCTGAGCTGGCGGCATCGTCGACAACTGTTTCTGCAGCCCGGCTCTTGTGGCGTCTTCCGTTTTCATCTGTCCTTGAAGCTGAGCTATCTGCTGCGCGACAATTTGCGGAGTTTGACCTCGCAATTGTGCGACAGCTGGCCTATTAAGGTACTTGCTCGCCTCGATGGGATTCCCCTCAATTGGTTTTGGTGGCACAGACGAGGGGAGAGGTGGCAGAGACGAGGGGAGTGGCGTCGCAGCGGCCGTAGGCTGCAAATTCGATGTTGGCAGCACATTCGAGACGGGCTGCTGACCCGTGGTGTTGGCCGACATGTCAATTTTGTTCACTCAAAAGTGCTGTTTGTAATTTGCCCTGCGAATTGTCAATGAATGACCGCGTTCTGCCTATGAATGTACGAAGGTTGTTGGCACGGAGCATCTACGTGCCTGGAGCTTATAAGTACTCGTCCGGTCGTGAATACAGGCATCGATTTGTCC